AGATCTACTTAAATTCTTTTATTGCGTACTTTAGCTATAAAGTTAATTTTATAACACCTAATTTAAGTAGGTTAGAGTAAAGCCTATTATTCTTTTTTAAGAAAATTTATTTAATACGCTATATAGTAAATAGAGTGAAAAATATTAAGTAAGAGTCTTTTATTATATACCTTAACTATATAATTATTTTTTTAAATACTTTATTCTAGTAGTTTAAAATATTATTTATTAGTATTATCTAAAATAAGTAGTCTAATAAACTTTATAGTAAGTAGAGAGAGATAATTTATATAATTAATTCTTCTATTAAAGGCTATATTTAAATATACTAGTAGAAATATTAAAGAATTTAATTTAATTTTAATAAATTTTTTTTAATATAAATATAATACTAAAAATAAAGAAAGTTCTTTAATAAGAATATAAGTTACTATAGTATATTATAAAAGTTATCTTATAGATTAATATACATTTATAAATATAGTAAACTATTTTAATAAGTAATACCTCTTAGTAAGGTAGTAATTTTATAAACTTTAATATTTTTTTCTTTTTATTATAATACTTACTAGCTAAGTTAGAAGAAGTAGTAACTTATTCTACTAATAACCTAGAGATAAAAGTCTCTACCTTTTATCTATTTTATAACATACATAAAAGTAACCTTTTATAAAATTAGCTAAAGAAATATATAAAATATTAAAATAGTATTTTAGAAGAGAAAATATTTAACTTATCCTTTTAAAGTAGCGTTATAAGATTTACTCTACTTATTACTTCTTCCTATTTACTAGCTATTCTACTACTATTTATATTAGTTAACTTAGATTCTAAAAGAATTCTTTTTATAGTATTTTATATAATCTATAGTATACTAGATAGCTATTACTAATTAATAGTATAAAAGCTCTTAGTAATAGGTTAATTTATAAGTCTTAGTTAAAGTTTAAGTACTTTAATTCTATTAGAGATATCTAGACTAAAAGATACGTGTTATTATTAAGGTTATTTTTATAGTTAAGGTAATAGGCCTCTATAGAGCATAGATAATTTTACTAAAACCCTACTATAGTAGCTGTTAGGCCTAAGTAACTATTTAATAAAGAGCTATAAGACCACTATAGTAGCTATACACTACAGCTATCTACTCGCGTGCACGCCAGCGCCATATAGCGCGCCGTTCGCGGAGCTTAGCCTAACGTAAGACGCGATCTACCCTTTCTATAGCTTTATTAGTACTAGCTAGAATTAGATAAAAAGTATATTAATCAACAGGATAGCTTAAAGCTTACACGCGGGTTAACAGCCTCTATATATACGTATGGCGATCATACTACGCAGCTATAGAAACCTGTTAAAGTACAGACGACCTTCCATAAAGAGCAATATATACGCTACTTTATTGTACAAAAGCCAGAGCAGCCAGAGACAGGCCAAGCGGGCTAGGCAAGCCAGCAGCGGCAGCAGGAGGAGCAGAAGGGCTATAAGCGACGCCTATCCTACCGTATCGCTACCAAACTGCTATTTCCGATACTTATACAATAGCATCTCTGACGATCAATGTGAATGAAAAGAGCATGTCAGTTTGTGGATGGAATAGACCGACGCCGGGCTTCCTCAACGTGCTCAGCCTTGTCGACCTTGGATTCAATGACACTGGACATTCCAGCATCCGGGGGAAGCTCCCGTGCGATGCGCACGACCTGGAGAGCATTATCAGACCTCAAGAAGAATTCATCGATATCTTCAAGTCCACGGTTTTTGGTCTCAGGACAGAAGAAGTAAACGAAAACGAAGCATAGAGTGCTTGTGCACATGTAGCAAAGATAGTCTATTCTGAATTAGTACTGAGCACATGATATCAGGACTTCACTTACATTTCCAACCGATTTTTCTGAATCCAACAGGTGTGACTTCCGCGATCAAAAAATTGAATAGCCAGTTCGTTGCCGCCGACATTGCTGTGATCTTATGTCGAATTCTCAATGGCGCAATCTCTGCAGAATACATGAATGGGATCAAGAACAATCCGATGGGAAAGAAAGCCAAAGCCGAGAAATCGAACAGGAGCGTTGCACCAGCGATACTTTTACTAGTGTGTGAATACTTGGTGAGTGCAGCTTGGCCAGCTTGAGAAATTGCCATGCCAGCAGCTCCGATCAGCAGCAGCTTCCGACGTCCGAGCCGGTCGATCAACAGGACAGCCAATGCCGCCATACAGAATTGCCAGATCTGCAGACATCCTGAGATGACGCGCGAAGTTGTGCCGCTGTACCCCAAGATCTGTTGGAAAATCTCATTCGAGTAGAAAGTGACTGTCAATGTTAGATATGCAGCATGGTAGATCACAATTTGAACCTACTGATATTGACACCTGTCATTTGAGCGAGCATATTAATGCAAATTGCAATCAATGTACGACTCAAGTGTCGATTTGGTGTTCGAGCGAAAGGATTGCTAGAAGCTCCGACATGTTCCTGGGTGATGGAATCTCTGATAACTTCCACTTCTTGTTGGAGTAACGTCGAGTCTTCGGGCAGTCCATTGAGGCGGGACAATGATTTGAGCGCGGCTTCGTAGTTCTCGTTCTTGATGTACCAACGAGGCGATTCTGCTCGTGGTCAGTACAGAGATTACTTCGGACCCTCGATCTGGAATACCCACCCGGTAGCATGAATATAAGTGAAGCGACACCTAGTGCGAATACGGCCTGGAATGCAATTGGGAACCTCCAATTCGCAGAGTTGTTCTTCAGAAAGAAGAAGCCAAAGTCTAACCAGACCGCAAGCGCTACGCCACCAATCGCGAACATGCCTTCAAGCATTACCATCTTGCCTCTGCTGTGAGCATTCGAACATTCAGTGACCCACATGGGGACCGTTGCTAAGCAATTTTCAGCGGAGTGACAAACAGGTTTTTCTTAACTTACCTGTAAAAGCGCCCACTCCAAGACCAGTAATGATTCGTGCGGCAATGAGCTGTCCGAGACTGAAGGATGAAGCCTGGATTGTGACGCCAACCAAGACGAAGCATGATGCGCCAAAGATGGTCTTGCGTCTACCTAGTATGTCGCCGATAAAAAAACATGACAGAGCACCGAGTGCACAGCCAACTTCATAGATTGCAACAGCTGTGCCTTGTACGAGCGAACGTTCGATCGACTTGTTGTTCGTGGTATTGATTTGAGGGAAAGTCTTCTCCCAAGTTCGCAAGCTCAACAGTCCGTTGATGACAGCTTGGTCATATCCCTGTAACAAAAAGGCAAGGGCGCCGACCGCTGCAACAAGGAGGTGGAGTCTTGGACCTTGGAGCTTGATACCTGCCATGACTGCAAGTTTTTGGAAATCGAATGGCGAGGTGTGTATCTCGAGAGGCTACACACGTATTTAACCCCGCACCAGGTTGTAGCTAGAGAATCCACTAGCTTTACTGTGATATCAGGCAATAGTAGTGTAGGTGGGCCGCTAGCAGGGGAAGAGAGCCAGTGCGTGGTAACTCTCAGGCAGCTTTCTTGTTCCAAACGAGAAGGCTAGTTACAGCCTATCTATGTTGCCGAGAAGCTGTGTATACTATTTATTACAATTATTACGTACATTAACAGAGCAACCCACCTACCCTGCTGTTGCCTGATAATATAATAGGACTAGTATAGTTAGTGATCTATATTATACATAGTTCTAGAGATCCTAATAGTTTTTAGAAGCGAAGTCGCGCTTCCTAATATGCGAGGCTCTTCTCCGCGGATGGACGTTGTCCCATGGTACGCTAAGTCGCACAAGGCTGGGACATAATTGTTCTCATTGAGGGTCTGGCACGTCAAGCCTGCAGAATTTCCTTACGGAAGTTGTCCAAGTATTAAAAAGATCGCTAGTAAGCTTGAACAGGGATTAAGCTTCTGCTGACGCGGCGGCCTAGAAGAACGCGCGGCTCGGAAGAGCGCGGCACTGTGGGTCGTAAGTTTGCGAGACTAACGATCTCTACCATATAGTTTTTAGAGTTTAAATAGCAGAGAGATTATAGTATTTTATAAATATGCGATAATAAATTAGGTGTTACGCGAATAAACGATTTAAAAAGGGGAGGTAGGCAGATCTTAAGAAATTAGCATAAGATGGTAAATAGCTATAGGAACGTCTTGCAGACTTGCATTTCCTATACTTATACCTACTTATATATTTCCTATATTATATCTTATTTACGATATAAATTATTAGATCTTATTTTTAAATCTTATTAATAGTATAAATCTATTTAAACTTAACCTCTTATTACTACTATATTAAACCTTCTCATATAGCTTTTGTTATTTTTAAAATATATAGTAATAATAAAATTCTTTAAATATCTTAACTTTGTTATAGTTTTCAATAACTATTTATTTAATAATATCTTAAAGAAAATGTATAGATAAATAAAAGAAAGATTTTATAAATTAAAAGCTATTAGAACCCTCTACTAGTATAATTAAGATATAAGAGATTTTGTAAATTAGTAAGTAAAAACTTATAAGTTACTTAAATACTTATAATATCTATTTAATATATTTTAATACTATAGTTATAAACTTAAAAATAGGCTAGTAAATAGGTACCCCCTACCCGCGGGTTGTGTAGGGGTTGGGTTAGGTCGCACGGGCCTTAGGTCGGTGTTAGGTTAAGTTATTGATTATATAAGACCTAACCTAACACTGACACCACACCAACTTAACTCTATATAACCTATAGGTAGAGGGTATAA